GATTGCCTCAAGGGAAGATAGTAAACACAAGCAGTATATATCTTCAATGTATATTACCATATATATTTACAATATATATAAAACATAAACACAAGAAAACCACTGCTCCCAGGAGTAATGAGACCCATCGTTAAGTGCGTTAGTGAATCCGGACCCGGAAAAGTTTGACATGAAAATCAGGGAACTCAAGGAAAAGTGAGAAGCAGAAACCAAGACTGGCAACGGTAGTGGAACCGAAGCAAAGAATCTGCAAGGAAAAGTTGAAGTAATCAAAGTAACTATTAAGCAGATTGAAAGCAATTTCTCAAGCATCCAGGCTCTAATAATGGAGGAGGCAAAAACGGTGACAGCTACATATGCCGAAGTATGAGGTAAAAGAAACAGTAAATGAAATGGAAAAAAAGAAAGACATCAAGATTATAAAAGAATAAATTAAGACACGGCTTATAGAGACGGCAAGGGAAATTCTATTCAAACCCCACTTTGGGCAACATGCAAGGAATAATGCTAATTTGGCTGATGTAAACAAGGACATAGTCATATTGATTGTAAACATTCCCAAGGTCATAAATCCCGAATTCGTGGGGCAGAATATCGTAGCTGGGATTATTCGAAAAGGGAAAGAAACGCCCTTCGTAATTAACATTCATGAATAAGCAAATGGTAACTGATATAATAAAGAAAGCCAAAGTCCTGGCCACCTATGAAGAATATAAGAAATTCCGGATGATAGAAAATATGACCAAATATGAGAGAGAAATACTGTAGAGAAAAGTGGAAAAAGTAAAGAATAAAAATGAACAAAGGACTGAAGAGGAAAAAAGGGTGAGAGATCTCCAAGCAAAGCAAATATACTATCGGAAGCAAAGTGTAGAGACAGACAAACATTAACCTTGCAGCCAAAAGGAATACCAAAAAAGTGTAAAGTGTAAAGACACAAACATTAATATGCCAGTGACATGAAAATTTTGTATTCTGCAAGGAAAAGTTGAAGTAATCAAAGTAACTATTCAGCAGATTGAAAGCAATTTCTCAAGCATCCAGGCTCAAATAATGGAGGAGGCAAAAACGGTGACAGCTACATATCCCGAAGTATGAGGTAAAAGAAACAGTAAATGAAATGGAAAAAAAAAGAAAAAGACGATTATAAAAGAAGAAATTAAGACACGATAGAGACGGCAAGAAAATTCTATTCAAACCCCACTTTGGGCAACATGCAAGGAATAATGCTAATTTGGCTGATGTAAACAAGGACATAGTCATATTGATTGTAAACATTCCCAAGGTCATAAATCCCGATTCGTGGGGCAGAATATCGTAGCTGGGATTATTCGAAAAGGGAAAGAAACGCCCTTTGTGATTTTACATTCATGAATAAGCAAATGGTAACTGATATAACAAAGAAAGCCAAAGTCCTGGCCACTTATGAAGAATATAAGAAATTCCGGATGATAGAAAATATGACCAAATATGAGAGAGAAATACTGTAGAGAAAAGTGGAAAAAGTAAAGAATAAAAATGAACAAAGGACTGAAGAGGAAAAAAGGGTGAGAGATCTCCAAGCAAAGCAAATATACTATCGGAAGCAAAGTGTAGAGACAGACAAACATTAACCTTGCAGCCAAAAGGAATACCGAAAAAGTGTTAAAGACACAATATATATATATATAGATAGATAGATAGATAGAGATAGATGTATATATATATATATTAAAAAAATCTGGCAATTGGTAATCCGGTTCCTTCACATTTCCGGCACTGATTTCGGAGCGCATTTGCAAATCTACCGAATTGACGCGCCACTATCCTTTGGCGTCGCCGTTGATAGTTTAATGGCGCTGTACCTCAGAATCAGCTGTTGGGTTTTGCTTACACATGCTAACAAGTATTCCAGCTCATTCCTCCTCAGTTTATAATATCTTTGCCGCTGTTACGTTGCTGTTCAGCAAAGAGAAAAATGGTGTAATATTCGGCATTTTTAAAAATCCGGCAGTCTTCATGTCTGAAGGTTGCCTGATTCTTGAACGTCAACCAGTATACACACACACACACACACACTCACACATTTATATATATATATATATATATATATATATATATGTGTGTGTGTGTGTGTGTGTGTGTGTGTGTGTGTGTGTGTGTGTGTGTGTGTGTGCGCGTGTGTGTGTGTATAATATGTATATATAATACATATATGTGTGTGTGTGTTCACGTATAAATATATCTATATGTATGCATGTGCACACACACACACACACACACACACACACACACACATATATACATATATATACACATCTGATTGTGTGTATATATATATATATATATATATATGTATTATATATGTAATATATATATAGCATATATATATATGTATATATATACATATATATATATTATATATATTATATATATGTGTGTGTGTGTGTGTGTGTGTGGGTGTGTGTGTGTGTGTTTTAGCACAAGCCTCGCTCACCCTCCTATATATATATATATATATATATATATATATATATATATATATATATATATATATATATATATATATATATATGTTTATATTTTTATATGTAGTTTTATGAATACATACGTATATTCATATCCAAGTGTTTATAAATGTTTGATATAAATAAATCTATATATTTATTTATTCATTTATCTATTTCTTGCTCTTGCGACTTTCATTTTCCGTTACTTTGTGTTTTTTCTTTCTTTTTCTTTTCTATTTTATATAATTACACATGTATTTGTATTTGTAAAATTTGGTCACTTGAATATGTGCTCATTTTCACAGTTTGGACAGTCTATGTAAGAAGAGACTAGATTTTTTAGTCACAACAACAGCACATTTTGCATTTGCTACATTTGTAACAACTCTTCTCGATAGTTGTATTACCATTGGTATATACCTTCTAAATTTGTACTGCTAGTTAGAACCTTTATTTATGTTAGTAGTATATGAATTCCCAGACCTTCGAAGGAGAGCTATCCAGGTTCAAGTACTATGACTTCCATTGAGGTCAATTTAAGATTAGCATAAAAATACAATAGCTTCATTTTTTATTTTTTTTAATTATTATTATTATTATTATTTATAACATTTTACATGCAAGTCTGAATCGCAGCAAACACAGTAGCTCTTCAGCTTTGCCGCTAGTTTTGATTTTGTTTTGACAAGCTACTGGGATTAGAATGTGTTGACAAAAAAGCTCAGTAAATCGATGAATTTGAAAAGAACCACAGTATTTAATTTCAGTTTGAAATTCGTATATATTGTGGTAGTTAGTCCTGGAATACACAAACAAAGTATGTATCCATACTTACAGTATGTATATATGCATTATGTATCCATATACATATATATATGTATTCCAAGGTGTGTCACTGCATATTATCCTTTAATGTGCCAATGTGTGAAGGGTAATTATGTTTTCAGCGAGTGGATTCAGCCGCTCAACCTCCTCTCGGATAGCTATGCGGCCGTTGTTGATCCTGTCCAGCAGCTGCTGCGTGTCGCCTCGGGCTCGTGGCAGCAGCGCCCTGGTTCCGTCCGTGAACCTCTTCCCCGTCTGCGCGATCAGGTCGATCAGGTCGTCGAACTCTTCGATGAAGCTGTTGGCGCTGACGGTGCCGCTGTCTATTTGGTCAGCGTTTTCGTCGTCGACAGGGGCTGTGGCGTCGCTGAGGAACTGGATGTACTTGGTCAGCAAGTCTTCGGCGTCGATGCGGTCCTGAGGCGGTGTCGTGCTGGGGGCGGAGGTTGTGGAGCCAGTTGTGGCAGAGTCACCTGTGTGGTTGCTTCAGACGTGGAACCCGTTGCTGTGGAATCAGCCGTAGTGACATCGGTTGTAGTGACATTAGTTGCAGTGGCATCGGTTGTGGTGGCAACGGTTGTGGGTGCATCAGCTGTAGTGGCATCGATTGTAGTGGCATCAGTTGTAGTGGCATCGATTGTGGGTGCATCAGCTGTAGTGGCATCGGTTGTAGTGGCATCAGTTGTAGTGGCATCGGTTGTACTGGTTGCTGACTCGGCAGCGACCGCCCTCCGAACTCTCCTTCGGCCGGTGCTGTCGATGGTGCCGAGTCTGTCGCTGGCCTCGTCCAGGGCCGCTTTCAGAGCCCCCAGGGAAGGGTCGATGGTTGCGAGCTCTAGAAGCCTTGCAGTTACGTTGAAGGCAATAGTGGTGGTAGGTATGGTTGTAGTTGTGATGGCCGTAGTTGTTGTATCAGGAGTCGTTGTTGTATCTGCAGTAGTCGTATCTGTCATCTGCAGGTTGTATCTTCAGTGGTTGTATCTGCAGTCGTAGTATCTACAGTAGTTGTACCTGCAGTGGTTGTATCTGCAGTTGTTGTATCTGCAGTCGTTGTATCTGTAGTTGTTGTAACTGCAATCGTTGTTGTATCTGCAGTAGTCGTATCTACAGTAGTCGTATCTGCTGTGGTTGTTGTATCTGCAGTAGTCGTATCTGCTGTGGTTGTTGAATCTGCAGTCGTTGTAATATCTACAGTGGTTGTATCTGCAGTGGTTGTTGTATCTACAGTAGTCGTATCTGCAGTGGTTGTTGTATCTACAGTAGTCGTATCTGCTGTGGTTGTTGTATCTGCAGTGGTTGTTGTATCTGCAGTGGTTGTAGTAGTCGTATCTGCAGTGGTTGTATCTGCAGTAGTCGTATCTGCAGTGGTTGTTGTATCTGCAGTATCTGCTGTGTTGTTGTATCTGCAGTATCTGCAGTGGTTGTTGTATCTGCAGTAGTCGTATCTGCAGTGGTTGTTGTATCTGCAGTAGTCGTATCTGCAGTCGTTGTTGTATCTACAGTAGTCGTATCTGCTGTGGTTGTTGTATCTGCAGTAGTCGTATCTGCAGTGGTTGTTGTATCTGCAGTAGTCGTATCTGCAGTGGTTGTAGTATCTACAGTAGTCGTACTGCTGTGGTTGTTGTATCTGCAGTGGTTGTTGTATCTACAGTAGTCGTATCTGCTGTGGTTGTTGTATCTACAGTAGTCGTATCTGCAATGGCTGTTGTATCTGCAGTAGTCGTATCTGCAGTGGTTGTTGTATCTGCAGTAGTCGTATCTGCAATGGTTGTTGTATCTAATGTAGTCATATCTGCAGTGGTTGTTGTATCTGCAGTAGTCGTATCTGCATTGGTTGTTGTATCTAGTAGTCGTATCTGCAGTGTTGTATCTACAGTAGTCGTATCTGTAGTGGTTGTTGTATCTGCAGTAGTCGTATCTGCAGTGGTTGTTGTATCTACAGTGCAGTGGTTGTTGTATCTACAGTAGTCGTATCTGCAGTGGTTGTTGTATCTACAGTAGTCGTATCTGCAGTGGTTGTATCTGCAGTAGTCGTATCTGCAGTCGTTGTTGTATCTACAGTAGTCGTATCTGCAGTGGTTGTTGTATCTGCAGTAGTCGTATCTGCAATGGTTGTTGTATCTGCAGTAGTCGTATCTGCAGTGGTGGTATCTGCAGTGGTTGTTGTATCTGCAGTAGTCGTATCTGCAGTGGTTGTTGTATCTGCAGTAGTCGTATCTGCAGTGGTTGTTGTATCTGCAGTCTGCAGTAGTCGGTGGTTGTTGTATCTGCAGTAGTCGTATCTGCAGTGGTTGTTGTATCTACAGTAGTCATCTATAGTGGTTGTTGTATCTGCAGTTGTATCTGCAGTATCATCTGCAGTAGTCGTATCTGCAGTGGTTGTTGTATCTGCAGTAGTCGTATCTGCAGTCGTTGTTGTATCTACAGTAGTCGTATCTATAGTAGTAGTATCTGCAGTGGTTGTATCTGCAGTAGTCGTATCTGCAGTGGTTGTATCTGCAGTGGTTGTTATATCTGCAGTCGTTGTATCTACAGTTGTTGTATCTGCAGTCGTTGTTGTATCTGCATTAGTTGTATCTACAGTAGTAGTATCTGCAGTAGTCGTATCTGCAGTGGTTGTATCTGCAGTTGTTGTATCGTTAGTCCTTGTATCTGCAGTAAATGTATCAGCAGTCGTTGTTGTATCTGCCGTTGTTGTAACAGTAATAGTTGTTGTATCTGCAGTAGTATCTGCTGTAGTTGTATCTGCAGTAGTATCTGCTGTAGTTGTATCTGCAGTTGTTGTAGCAGCAGTTGTTGTATCTGCAGTAGTATCTGGTGTAGTTGTATCAGCAGTTGATGTTATATCTGCAGTAGTCATTGCATCTGCAATAGTTGTTGTATCTGCAATAATTGTTGTATCTGCAATAGTTGATGTATCTGCAGCCACTGTATCTGCGATAGTTGTAGTTGGAGTAGCTGTATCTGCTATTGTCGTTTGTGGTTGCGATCCGGAAGAGGTCAGTGGTTGTGGCCCAGGGCTGGTTAGCGGAGGGCTGAGGGCTGGTTAGCGGTTGCGGTCCAGGGCTTGTTTGTGGCTGCGGTCCAGGGCTGGTTAGCGGTTGCGGTCCAGGGCTGGTTAGCGGTTGCGGTCCAGGGCCGGTCCAGGGCTGGTTAGCGGTTGCGGTCCAGGGCTGGTTAGCGGCGGTCCAGGCTCGGTTGCGGTCCAGGGCTGGTTAGCGGTTGCGGTCCAGGGCTGGTTAGCGGTTGCGGTCCAGGGCTGGTTAAGGGCTCTGCGGTCCAGGGCGGTTGCGGTCCAGGGCTGGTTAGCGGTTCCAGGGCTGCGGTCCAGGGCTGGTTAGCGGTTGAGGTCCAGGGCTAAGGGCTGAGCGGTTGCGGTCCAGGCTCGGTCCAGCGGTTCCAGGGCTCGGTCCAGGGCTGGTTAGCGGTTGCGGTCCAGGGCTAGTCCAGGGCTGGTTAGCGGTTGCGGTCCAGGGCTGGTTAGCGGTTGCGGTCCAGGGCTGGTTAGCGGTTGCGTCCAGGGGTTAAGCTGGTTAGCGGTTGCGGTCCAGGGCTGGTTAGCGGTTGCGGTCCAGGGCTGGTTAGCGGTTGCGAGGGCTGGTTGCGGTTGCGGGAAGGCTGGTTTGCGGTCCAGGGCTCGTTGCGGTCCAGGGCTGGTTAGCGGTTGCGGTCCAGGGCTGGTTAGCGGTTGCGGTCCAGGGCTGGTTAGCGGTTGCGGTCCAGGGCTAGGGCTAGTTTGTGGTTGCGGTCCAGGGCTGGTCGGTTGCGGTCCAGGGCTCGGTTGCGGTCCAGGGAGAAGGGCTGGTAGGGCTAAGAGAGGTCTGTGGTTGCGGTCCAATCGTGGTACCTGGGTCCTTTTTGACTGGTAAAAGAGCCTAGAATTAGTAACTCCACACGTAACCAAATATTAGTATAGAAATCACCTAATAATCATCCTCTTTGGGGCAGTTTCATTGATGTCCTTGTTATCAGTATTACTCCCATGATTCAGAATCTTATTACCATCATCATAATTATCGCTAGTATTCTCATCATGAGTCATGGTGATGACGATGAAGACGGCGATGTTTACGATAGTAATGATGGTGACGAATGATTATCAAATCAATGTAACATCAAAATCGTCGTAAATAGTATGACTGTTATTACTATCATAATCAAAGATATTTTCAAAATGAAAATACGC